TGGCAACATGTATGAAATCATCAGCATAAACAATGCCCATCTAAATTAGAGCAAGTCAATAATAGCATACGGTAGTCCATGATTCATCATATAGCACAAAAGTTCATACACCCATTATCATGCCATTCTAATTCACCTAGGTCAATTCTAAGCATCAATATAATTATCGTGATACGACAAACCCGGTATGCCGTGCTAATCCCTCACCAGTTCTGGTCGTTCAAACACCGGTTCTAGCCTCCCATACTAAAACGTCAATTTCCCGAACGAACCCCGAATTAAAATCCGAGACTGTCCTAATATCCCCTGCAGTATCCCCGTCAATATTAGTTCTAGGCTCCGGGTCAAATTCTTGAAAAAAACACATCAAACCCTGGCCGGAGCTAAATTCAGCGATTAGGACCCCGACCTAAATAATTGCCGAAATTCAGGGATTAGAACTAGAGGATTGATTACCTCGCTGCAGGAAGCTCGTATATGAAATTTGGGCTCAATCCGGCTTCCGGATACTCCGAAATCCTAATTTGGCTTATCGGGAATTCGAGAAATTCCCGAACCAAAAACTCGTTTTAAAGCTCTAAATCGATAAATCACGATTAATAGATGGATTAGGTATAACTTACGGGATTTTTGGATCACTAGAACTCAAGGATTGAGGCTTGGGAATTTTTACCCGGACGTTCCCCTGAACTTCGCTCGCTCTGCTTCTCTCGGTCCGAAATTGGGGAAAAGTAATGAAATGGGACGGAGATGAGAATTAAATGGACAGGGAAAAGTATATATATATATGCCGGCCGCTTAATTAATATATATATATATATATATATTTATATATATATATATATATATTTATATATATATATATATAATTAATACGTATACTTATATGATCGATCGATAATCCGATTTGAGCCGAAATATTATCAAAACGCTCGATTTTAAATAGCGAACTTTCTAGCGATCGAAATATGGGTTTAGCCGAAACGAGATGTTACAGTAACGAAAACCCAGAGAAAATGTGAGAATTACGATTAAGAAGAGCTTTGCGGCCAAATCAACAGTAAGGTGGTGAAAAGAATGTTGACAATAAAAACAGGTTAACTTATCCTTAAGTGGCTAAATGAATTAAGCAAAGTCATTCATTACATTGATTCCGCTAAACTATGATAATGCCACCTGCAATAAGGTTATCCAAGAAAGCCACTAAACATTAGCTACAGTGAAAACCTACAAATCATCCTAAGCTACTTACAGAATCCAGAGCCGGTTCAAACAATTGCAGAAACAGAGGTTAACTGCACCTACCCTCCAACACCATCAATAGCCTACCAAAGAGCCTCTCCTTGGAGCACCTAGAGCTTTTCTTTGTTTAGAAGAAGCAATGTAGAACCTAAAACAAAAGTTATATTATACAACATAAAGCTATCAATGGTGAGGAAAGGAAAATCCTCAATGAAGTAAGCGGCCTGCGCAGATAGAAGGAAATCCATACACATTTAAGTAAATTCTTACATACTTTATTACCACCAAAGCTTTAAACTGCACTAGTGAACCAAAATTTGTGTTCGCAAATTGGCGAAATAAATAGGAAAAAAAAACTTAGAAGTCATAGAAGTCCCAAGCTGCACTGATATTGGGCAGGTAGCTTATGGTAGAAACATCTCTATAGTAGATTACAAGTAAACCAACTGATGCAGTTTGATAAATCCTGGGTTTCGGTTTGAACTGGGAATGGCACATTCACCGCTTGAAGAGACGAAGGGATTCCAGAATCAACCGTAGAGAAAGACCCCAAGTCCGAGTGCCCTTGAGAGAGAAGAGCCAGATCCCTTTCCAGCCGCATCTCCCCTGACCTCTGCGTCTCTGCGCGGCCACTGCTTCTTCGGAGAGGAGGTTTTTTTGCGGAGGAGAATATAGATAGAAACCCTTCTCTCTCAACATCGGTTGTCGGCGCGTTCCTCTTCCTAGTGAAGGGTATCTACCTCTCTCCAAAATCAAAGCCATGGAATCGAGGACGAATCGTTCGACTTCAAATATGTCCGGAAGGTTGGTCCCAATTTATATTGTCTTCAAATATGTCGGTAAAGAAGGCTCGTCTCCAAACTAGCGTGTCATTCAGCGAATTGAGGGCGGTGATGAGAGGGGAGTATTGGGTTCGGAGATGTGGTATCTGTCGCCGCCACCGTCTACCGCCACCGTCCGTTCAGTGGGTTCGGCGATGGGAAATATTTTGTTGCCATCCTCTCCCGCCGGCGTCCGTTTGGTGGGTTCGGAGATGGTGGTGATGGGAGAGAAGGGAAGAAGGTTTGGAGGAAGCCGTACTATGATCTTGGGAGGTGAGAGAAAAATAGCATCGAGATGCGTTTAACTTTTTTAAGGCGGCCACTGTTACGTGTAATTGTGTTTTTGTGAGCTCGCCCATCTTGCAAAGTAAAAATAACATCAACGGTCAAGCTTGCCCTGTCCAATATAATAACACATGGGCTAACGTAGGCTCATGTAGGTACGACCGCAGACAATCACCAATCCACTCCGTGTACAGTGCCTCCCACTTTTTTCGTAATGAACACGATTTTTCGATTTTTGGTAATTTTTGTCTACTTGTGGCTTAATAATTCTAATTATATACGGCAGTTAGTCTCAGATGGGTGGCTTCAACTACAGTATTTGATGACAGAAGAGCAACCGACAGACCTGCTTACAAAAGCAGTCTCTGCTAGTCGGCACTGGTTTTTTTCACGAAAACTGATGTTGCGGCAAGCACCATCAGTTTGAGGGGGTATTGAAGTTTTATTTGTAAATATAGTTGTAGTGAGGGACTTATTTGTATATATGAGACAACATGTGGACTGGATGAAAAGAATGCATACGCCTAGCGGTTAGGGCTGTGCATGGCCGAGCTATATATCCCTGCGTTAGGGTTTATGGTCTGTTGAATAATAAGAAACACCAAGAAAATTAACCACCGTGAAGTAAAGTCTCTTCAAAAGACTGAACCACGTTAAATCTCATGTCTTTGTCTTTGCTCTTTGATATGCAGATTTGATTGTTTAACACATCTCCCCAGCACCGCAACCAGGGCTGATGGTAGGGGTGGAAAACGGGAAACGGGTATTTTGGTATACCCATACCCGTCCTGTATTTTGAGGGTTACGGGTACCCATATTACCCGTATTATTTACTACGGATGGGACTTGGGATGAAGAATTCCTAGATTGGGTACCCGCGGGTTACCCACAAATCCCGTTTGGATATTTTGGGTACCCGTAATACCCGTTAAACAAGTCATCCCAACTGTTACGAGTATGTTTGCGCTACTGTTGTTTTAATCAGGCTGTTTGTTGTTTCAATCTCGTGAGAAGCCAATATTATAGGTGGCTATTATTATGACTTGTCGTGGAAATCCCAGCTCTTACAATGAGCTTTGCTTGGGGATTATGCTGTCAAGCTATATGCATAGCTTTGTAATTAATTTCTCTATTGTAATCTGTTAATTTTCTTGATTGACGAAAGTTGTTGTTGGTGGTTTTTATTATCTTGGTCAAAGTTCTTTTTACCTTTTATCGTTCCAGGGAAGAGATAAACCGATATATGGAGTTAGAACAAGTTACATTTGGTGAGAATGGGTATTTATGATAATTTGGATACCCAGTGGCGGACCCAGAAATTTTTCATAGGGGTGTCCTCTTTTAAAAAATAAATTAAATAAAAATAATTAATAAAAATAAAATTGAAAATATGAAAATACCTTACTCGTATAGGTTAAAAAAGTCCATGATATGTTTTCACATTCGGAAATAATTGTAGAATACACTTGGTGTCTATAGTGTTAAAAAAATTGTCTCTAAATACACTACTAGACAATCATTCACGAACTTATCGCATATTCGATTTGTAAACTTGTTCTTGATGTAACCCAAAGGAAAAAAACTCTTTCAACACTTGCCATACAATCATAAAATCAATACAAATTAAGGGTAGTTTGAAATTGGTTTAATTGTTAGGTTTTTAAAATAATTAGAGATAGGGAATGACATTTTACTCACATTGTTCAAAATCGAACAACAAATGAGTTTAGCTCAACGGAAATTAAGTTTATTAATAATAATAGTGTTCTAGATTTGAATTATCCAACCTACCACTTATATTCCTATACACAAATGACAAAAGGATAATCATTTTTCAAATTTAAGGGTGTCCCTCGCTATCAATTATATTTTTTTTATCCATACGTAAATTACTACTGGGAGTTGGATAATCGTTTTCCCAAAATTTAGGGGTGTCCGGGGACACCCCTAAACCCTCCTGGGTCCGCCCCTGTGGATACCCGTTATCCGTCCCGTACAGGTAATGGGTACCCGTTAACCGATACGAGTTTGGGATATGGGATGGAATATCCTCTCCAAATGAGAACGGGTACCCAGTTTAAATGAGATGGGTACCCGTTCCCGTCTCGTTTTCCACTTCTAGCTGATGGAGCCTAGAAATGGTGATGAAACAACCACTCCGAGCATAGGAAAGTGGGAATGGGTGCTCCCCCATTCCCGCTAGAACTGAAAATTGATGGAGATGGTTTTCTGCGAGAATATATAATAACCAGTCTTGATCCACCTCAACCACATAATTAAGTCTAGTCGATCGTGTTGTTCGCTTTGAGAGCAAGGATGAACAGTATCTGTGTCGTGACTCACAACATTCCCAAACAGTCACTACCTAAGACATGATTCATGACAGTAAACAGTAACTCCCTAGTGAATATAATAATATTATTCTATCTTAGCGATAACTCCAGATGATGTATGTAACCATCTCACTTTAATAATTACATTCAATTCCATTATTAATTAACTAATCCCGGGGATCTAATCTAATCACCATTTGAGAGACGCCCTTTACGCCTCCCGCCCGCTCTTTTACACACACAAAAAAAAAAAAAAAGGTTCTCTTTCTCTTATAACGAGAATATATCCCGACGAATTAATGGGGACAACTGTACTTGACTAAAGTTGTTGTGACAAGAGACAGGACGTAGTAGTAGTAGTAGTGTCTGGAAGCTCTTGCATCGCTCGGTACATGAGATCTACGTCGTCATCCTCATCGCCTCCTCCCCACGGCCAAAAATATGGCTGCTGGTCGCTGTTATAACTGTCTCCTCCACCGTATATCGTACTGTCGTCCACCACAAATGGCTCGCTCCAGAAATCCCCACCACCACTAGTACAACTTATTGTGTCATAACAATTTTGGTTATAATAACTATCCATCCCCTGTCCCCTTTCTGCCGTTCCACACCCACCATATAAACCGCCGTCCATACAACCATCTTCCCAACTTCCAACGGCGGCTGCCTGCTCACCGGACGACAACGGGGAGCTCTCGAGTATCACCATGTTGGCGAGTGATGAAGTAGTACCTTCAGCCTCCATGTCATCGATTTCCACGTGGGTTTGACTGCCGGAATGTTGTGGACGTGATGACGAGGATGATGAAGGTGTTGATCTGCTCTCATTCTTCGCCCACCCTACTCGCTTCTTCAGATGCGCGTGCCAGTAATTCTTGACCTCGTTGTCTGTTCTTCCTGGCATCTTGGAAGCTATCATAGACCACCTGGAGCAAGGAGAAGAAAAAAACACGTGTTAATTTTTTTTATACGAGGAAAAATTCTTCTTGCAATGGGCAAACCCCGGTTTCCATGGATACTCGACAAACTCAAGGAGTATTTAATACGAGATTACAGTTATGTTCTGTCGGTGGCCACCAACAGGATAACGCAAAAGTGACGACTGCGAAGGATCGAATCCAGGTCCTACTGGACACAATCCTGCCCATTTACCACCTCCACCACCCTTTGGTGATTCGTGTTTAAAATTTTCGACAACATTATATTTGAATCTTAATTAAGATGTATATATCTTGGGTGGGTTCAAAGGTGTTTAATAATTACTTGGTTCCGAGCTGTTGGTGGAGGTGGAAGATGAGATCGTCTTCTTCTTGGGTGAAACGGCCGTGCTTCAAGTCAGGGCGGAGGTAATTCATCCACCGCAGCCTGCAGCTCTTGCCGCACCTGGACAAGCCGGCGAACTTGGGGAGCTCGCGCCAGTTCCAATGGCCGTATCTGAGGATGTAGTCCCGCAGTTTCTCGTCTTCTTCTTTGCTCCACGCGCCTTTCTTCAGCCCATTGTCGTCGTAGAAAGCAGCTCGAACCATTTTCGGAGGAGATGATGATAAGTGGAGGACGAGTGATTAATGTTGGTGTGATACCTGATAGTTCACTCGGCTTTGAATTTATACCCAGAATTGGAGGATGGTTAAAAAGAAAAAGAGCATGTGATGGAATTTGTCTGTGGTGTGAGCCGTGTGGACACATTTATGATGATGAGGTGTGAGAGTTTAGACTTTTTGGTCTGATCAACGATGGGCCTGCATGGTGCAGTGAAGGTTCATTGATCACGATTGATGGGATTTCGCCACCGTTAGATCAAACTTATTAATCTGGATCTTTTTTTTTTTTTTGTTGAGAATCTTGGTGACTGGTGTACGTAGTTCGCTTTTAAAAGAGAGAGAATTATTATATTATATATTGAAAACAAAGAGTAAGGAAAGAATTAAGAGCAAATGCAAACAAAACAATTTGGCAGTTAGCCCTATGTGAACGATTGTGAACACATGAGGATTTTCAATGATAAGAGGAGTTGGACTCATACTTGCCAAAAATATATTTAATATTCATATATATATATATATGAACTCGATCTAATATTAGAGCAGTTCTACTATGCTATATAGCATTGGTGCTGTAATGTACAACTCAAAGTTGTACCATAACATTAAATGTATAAGTTTAGGTTGTACCATAAAACAATTTTGTATCATTATGTAATGGTACAGCTTTACAACTTGAAGTTGTACCATCACATAGAGGTATAAGTTCAAGTTGTACCATAAAAGAATTTGTACAAAAAGTATAGGTACAATCTGAAGTTGTACCATAACGTAAATGTACAATTTTAAGTTGTACCATAAAGACAAAAACCTATAGCACCAATACTATATAGCATTGTAAAATTTCTCCTAATATTATTGTAAAGTCGTCTCAAATTTTTTTTTTTTGTTGATTGTTTTAGGTACTAAACACATCCAACACATTTGAGAAACTAAATTATTATTCACTTTTGAAATAACATAAAATATTGTAACCTCACTCGCATGAGTCGAACTCAAACCATTTTTTTTGTTTGGAGGATCTTTCGTTCTTTACTCTTTTGCTAATACCCACAGGCCACGGCGAGCACAGCAACCAAGGTGCATATTATCATATAGAAAGAAGCGACGAATAACGATGCGTACTACTAAAAATGTTTCGCTAACCAGCAAACAATAGAGCCCTAGATAGGCGCAAGCGTAGCTTACCTATATCATGATTTACTAACCATGGTTGAACCCTCATTGTAGAAAGGCCAAACCAAACCATTACCAACAACGCCAGAAAACCCAGACCTATTTTATATACTAATTAACCAAAGCTAAAAAGATATACTATGAACTTAATGAACGCGTACGACTAATGCCCTTTGACTATGGAGTTAAATATAATATCAACTAGGAAACCTTAAATTTGATAATTTGTTGCTATACGAATTGAGAGCGAAAGGTGTTGAAACGTGCAAATTAATATATACTTATAACAACAGAAAAATATTAATCGACATGTCCTTTACTATGATGGTACAAAAACTATATCATCGTGGTATGTAACATACTATGATAGTACAAAAATATATCATTGTAGTATGAAAATATATCATAAAGGTAATAGTTCTACTATGATGTTACAATAAATATATCTTATTGGTATGATGCTGGTCTACATGGTCCAAAAATTATTTGTTTAAATATCAAATTTAAATCATTTATTCATATAAAAATTTATATAATTTTGTAGATTATAATTAATTCTAATTTATGTCCGACTTCCAAACTATTTGAAATCCAAGATAAAAACTAATTAGATACATCTCATTTAAAAATAAGGAACTCAAATTTTCGTTTAACCTTAACCGTTTAAATTAATCAAATAGATTGAAATGCGATTATAAGGTTTAAATGCAATTGTGTTATTCACAATGGTCGGGAAATATATGGTATTGCATGGAGGCTCGAAATCAGGTTTAACAGGCAAAAGCAGGTTGTTGGATATGTGGTTAAATTTAGGTAAAAAGAGTTTTGGTATGATTATGTTAGCTTACTGACGTAGTGATATTCATCTTCATCTTCTACAAAATCAAAGAGAGAACATCCACACGGCATTATATATTTTAATTCTTAACCAAAAAAAACCACGCGCTATAAATATTGGGGAAGGGTGTTAAGGAGCCAATACTAAGCTCACATCCGGCAAATAAAATAATAATAATAAAAGACTAGCGGATATCTCAAATATTTTACAAGAGATCACTAAAATCTTTGTCAAAAATCAATGTTATTCTTACGGTCGATTAGTGTTTCTAATAAATTTATTAGACTAACTCTAACCCTACCATTCAAATTGACCTCGCAAGTGACCAAAAATGCATTTTTAAACTGAGGAATTTTACAATGGTGCTTTAATTTTTTTATTTTATGTGGTACAATGTGTAGTTATACATTTAACATTATTGTACAATTTCAAGTTATACCTATATTCTTTTGCAGATGCTGTTATAGTACAAACTAAAATCAAATTCTCTTACAATACAACTTCAATTTGTATTTTTTAACATAGTAGAAGTGCTTTTTTAAACTTCCTAAAACGCATTTCTACTTGAACCATACAAGCTTCTAAATTTAGCTTCCCATTCTTTTTCCAATTTATTTTGATGAACCGTGTTTATTTGCATTATAATTTTTACGTTTCACTTTAAATTTTTATAGTTTGTTATCAATTTTGAAAATAATAATTACAGATTTGATATTTTTAAAACTCTTAGACAATTTTTTTTAAGTAGTCACTAATTTATTAGCGTTACTTCGAGGCCACTCCAAATATAACATTTTTTGTAGCCATTACTTTGTGTCCTTTTTTTGTTGTCATTTTGTATAGTACATAGTTTTATAAATGAAACATCGTTCATTTTCCATCATCTCATTATATTCATCTGAAAATGCACCCAATTTCTAAAACAAACACATTCATCAAGATTTTTTCTCGGATATGCCGTGCTTTCTTCAGGGGCACCTGGACTGAACAGTGATATAAGTATTCTAGGGATGTCTCCAATGTTTGATCGTATAGTCAATAAAAGTGTCCACATGTACGATTTGAGATAAATGGTCATGTTTACGATCAATGATATTTGGTTGACGATATTTATCCTTCGTGGCCGACTTCAGTAAAGACGTTCAACAATCCAGGGTCAAACAAAGAGGTTTTGTTAGCTCAACATTAAGAAGCGCATCGCAAAGACATAGAGCGAGCATTTGGAATACTCCAAGCTATATGGGCAATTGTTCGTGGCCCTGCAAGAGTTTGGGATGTTGCCACACTTAATAATATAATAATATTCACATGCATTATATTACATGTGAGCATGATAGTTGAGGGTGATCAAGTTGATTCTTATGATCGATGACATACAATTTGACCTTGATTATGAGGTCCGTGAACAACCTCAACTACCCGACTGACACATTCCAACTCTGATTGATTACTTGTCTACAAATAATAGACTTCGCTCTTTAACAAAACATCATGCGCTCCGTAATGACTTGATTGAGCATTTTTGGAATTTACATGGCAACAATTAGTCTTTTTCTTGGTAGTTTGTATTTTAAGTTTCACTTTGGAATTGTATTTCATATTACAATATGAGTTTGCAATTTCATGTTTCAGTAACAATTGTGTTGTTAAAATGTTTATGTTACAAAGTTATCATTTTTTCGTTACTAAATCACTTCTTTAAACTACAAAACAAACAAACCCTACAAAAGCAACCAATCAGAAAATTAAGAATAAAAATAATAAAATAAAAATGCAACATAAAAAGGGTGACCCGCGTGCTAGCCGACGCTCACACGCGGAGGCGCGGCTGGGCCACAGATGCGCTAGAGGAAGCCCCACTTTCATATTCAAATTCGCCCCCTCCCTCCATGTGAGCTTATATGTACCCACAAGGCCACAACCACTCTCATTTTTCAAAATATGCAAGCTCAATTTTTTTGGTGGGTTGGAGTGGAAAAAGGGGAAAAATACCCTCTTTCTCCCAATTTACCTTCATGGGTTAATAGTCCCAAAATTCCAGTCATTGCATGTTTTATATGGGACATCCTTAGTGAAGTTATGGGGAATTTAATTAATAGAGGTCGAGTTTCGATTCAGTCACATGTGAATAGATATCATAGCGTACATTTACCGTTTTGTGGCACCAGCAGTAGACATGCGTTAGTCAGTGCTACCGACAGTGAATACTCTGGTAATACACAAAGAGAAAATAAAGTTTGATCATTGATTGTGTTATGTCAATGGTGTTACATTTGGATTAAATAACAAATCAATAACCCTGGATAAAGTCCTAAACATCTTTGATCAAATATTGTGTTGGTGTAAGTCGATGCATATGGATAGAGACTAGTATGCGCAATAAGCTAAGATTCATGATGTGGCTTCACCTGTAGAAATGAAGGTTATAAGTTAACCAAACTAATAGACCGCCACAAATCTGAGACAATAGACATGGATACCTAATACTAAGGATAGCCATAATTTGTTCGTGTGTTGCGTGAGTAAGAGTTTATAAACTTGAGATGATCAAAAGTAGGATACATGCTACAGTTTTGCTTTGATACTATGCCCAATAACTTGTGTTTGAGCCTGGATATACACAAACCTAAATCTTCGTGCGCCTAAGATTCCCTTGAATCCCAAAAGGCACCTTATCTGCACACCACACACATAGATGAGGGTGCCAAGGCCCGTTAATACTCCGACAATCAAGATAGTCTGAATTCTAGAGAGAGAAGTGTTAGGCTCGCGTTTAGTGAGAGAATCCAATATGCGTAAATGCTACCTACCAGCACTATTTATACTCAACCAACCCTCAACCAGGCTCCTTCATTTCTGCCCTACGTAAACATCGCATTCAATGTTTCGTACCTTCAAAGGGCTAGGCGCCTCGACCACATGAGGGAACCATCGACAATTCGTACTATTTTGACTCCCAGCGAGTTTTGTCGCCATGCGCCCTTTCTCTTTCTTCTTACTTGCGACCTATTGGGGCAAACCACGTTTTAAGGCTCTTTTGGGCCTCACTACAACAAAACAGACGTTTAGCGACGGTTTTGTGGACAATTAGTGACAGTCTGTATCGTCGCTAAAAAATTATCAGACGGCCACCTGACCATCGCAGACCCCTCAGTCCTTAAATTATTTCCCGACGGTTTCGGTCGACCGTCACAGTGACCGTCGATATATTTAGCGACGGGAAATAACGTCGATATGTTCAGAAATGTCGTCGTTAAATTAGATATTATAAAAAGTATCCGATCCTTTTGCACGGTTGAGACCGTCGTTAACGCCAATTAACCTTCGCTAAATTACGAGGCCATTTTTGGGGGGTACCTGCTCTAATAATCACCTCCTGCCTGTTGTGATATTCCGAAATATCAATATTACAATTTCAATTACAAATACCAATCTGAATTTGAAAAGTCTATTAATATCTCCAAATTTAAGAATAAAAACCCATCAATCCTCAACAAAATAACTCTCAATCATATTATGATGCTACTAAATCAACATTCTAAAGTTTCAACTCCAACTCCTTAATACTGTTGTATCCAGTCATCCTTGAAGCAACAAAAACATACTGCAACACTACAAGGACTAAGAAGAATCGAATTCAAACCAAACACACCTTGCCACATTGGTCGCTGCCATCTTGACAATTATCTGCAAATGAAACAAATAAATGTTTCAAAAAATCATGAATCGATATTGACCACAAATATACAAATGTCAACCTTCCAACATTACGGAGAGCCATTCATTATTAAAATTATTCTCTAGTTGATTCAACTTAAAGAGATTATAAGAGAATCATGCTGCCGCCTGCCAGGACCTAGGTTCTATTGAAACTGAGCTAAGAAAGTTGTCTGATCACAGTAGGTATGAATGTAAGATGTTTCTGTATCCTCGTTTCATCTTTCTTGCATACAACACCACTAAGTTCTCCAGAATGTCCAATGGAAAAAAGTATTTCATTTCATTTGAGTAGTTAAATTATCTAGTATGCATTTGGGAAAGCATCATGATTTAATATTAGAAGACAACTTATAGTATATTACACCAACTACAGGTTTGCATCAATAGGTTTCGAAATGGAAATTGGTTGGTGATTAGACAATCGAGCATATTCAGATGCATGTTATCCATAGTACTTGAACAACATCCCTAGAATAGTAAGGAACATCTCTGGAAACAACCAGTATTGAACCTGCTTGTAGGAACACATACACCAAGAGACAAAAGAATTATTCAATTACTACAGGAAATCTGGTTTCTAGTCACGGGATCTTATTCACGGTAAATAGTTATAAGTATGCTATTAGTCAAGGGAAAAGTTTCCGTATTTGATTGTATAGTTCTAAACACAGGAACTAATTTACTGGTTTTTAGTCTTCATTTCCCGTGATTAATTGTTAGTCACGGTAAATTTTCAGTGAATAATGTGACAATTTACCTTTACAAGTTTAGATGAAAATTGATACACGTATATATGACTGTACATATTTTATTCGTTTAAAATTTTCATATCATTTAATATTCGAACTTAATGAATTAGATTGTTAACCTAACTATTATTTATATACTAATTTATGTTTAAATTAATTAATTTTATAACTATTGGCATACTATTAAACGTGCAATTAGTTTAGAGATGAAGTAAAATGTCTATATTTATTTTATACGTAACTTACCCATATAAAATTTTACTAACTATTATCTAACATAATTTTTTTCAAGAAGTCTTGTTAAATTAAACTCTTGTTAAATTCACCTCCTTTTCCAAACAAAATTTTGTTGGGCTGAGCAATTTGGCTCTCCCGCATTCTTTTGCCGCCTCCCCAATTCTCAAATTTGACTCTCAAATATTTGGCTCCACAATAGTCAATACTACAAACTTTGGGGCTCCCTCAAATTTATTTTACAAAAAAATAAAAATAGAAGTGCCATTCGCTGTCGTCGAAGTGGTGTTTGACATAGGCAGCACATCTTATTCTTAGGAAATTCTCTGCTCTCGCAAACCCACACTCTCTCTTCGTTCCAAAGGGAAAAAGTTCTCAGCTGCTGCTCGCGTTCTTCCATCTCTGCATCCCAGACATCCAAAAAATGCCCCCCAGCTCCCAACTGATTAAATCCTCCTCTCACCGCTTGCTCTATATCCCAACTAATCCCCTCCAAGAATTCAATTTCATATGCTGTGGAAGGGCCGGGGAATCCATTTGCTGCCAACAAATCCTTCTCTGCCGCCAACGAATCTCGCTCGCCGCTGAATCCGTCCCACCAAAGAAACCTCCGCCATCTCAGTCTTGTCTCTGTTCTCAACGCCTTCACCGCCTCCGTCGTCGACACTGCCTCCGCCGCTTGGTTAATCTTGTGTTAGGGTTATTCATTATGCGTTTTGGATTAATGTTTGGCTCTCATTCCTAGTCTAGGTTAATTTTGTATCTGTTTTAATTCTATGCATCTTTAGCTTCTCACTCTAGTTCTTATGGGGATTGGTTGCTCTGATTTTGCTTAAAGCCAAGTGCCAAAGCCACTTCATCGGACAGGTATCAGCATTTTGCTGTGATGTACGGTGGTTTCTCTATTGGAAAGAGAGCGGAAGTGGAGCTGGAGAAAGGGGATTTCACAGAAGTCGTGATCTTGCTCTCAAGGGTAAAATGGTTCAAGCTTTCAACTCCTCTTTGCAAAGAAGTTGTTCGCTTCAAGGCCATAGAGTCTAGCTTTGTTTGAATCATATCTCTCAAGGTCTTAAAGTTGTTTAACTTGTTGCAATCTGCAGGTTTTTTCTTTGTTTCATTTTTTCTTGTCCCGCTGCTTCTTTGTTTGGAAAGGGACATGGTCTATAGCAGCAAAAATCATTTCATCAATAATAAAGTTACCTCTGTTAGTTCATTGGAGAAAACGGCAGCTTCAGCTCTTGTCAAATTACTAGCATCAAACAACAGTTAAAAAATGATAAGCTTTTATTTAGAATGATTTGTTTTCTTGTTCTCTAGGCGGGGAAAAGATTTCGCTGGCATGGTAGAAGATAAACATCGCAAAGAGGTGGCAGGAGGAATGTTAAGAGATGTTGCCTATTAAATGGATCGTTAGAGGAATGCTAAGAGAAGGTTGCATGTTTAATTTGCAGAACTGAAACTCTGCTTGAACCCGAAAGAATTCTAATAATAAGCATGTAAGAATTGATCCAAGGTGCATTTTTGCAGCTTTGAAATCAGAGGTCTGAAACGTGAATGGATGCTGCATTTGTCAAGGGAGAACCATTGATCATGTATGCGAGATGTCTTTTTTTGGCAGAGAAGCATTACTAATCTTTATATAGGAGTGGAGAGAGATTTGGAGAATGATAAGAGTTGCTTTGAATGCTTCTCTCGGGTATGTTGCTTCTTCCTTATTCCATTTTTTTGCATTTGGATTCTTACTTTCTCTTGTAATGGATTCGTGTCTTGGTTGTTGGATGCTTGAAAGCTTGGTAATTCTGGATTGAAGCTTTGTGGTGACAAAGCTTGATTAACTGCATTATGAGTTGAGGTGGACTATGATTACCTCCTACTTGCTTTAGTGTACTCTATGCTATGTTTGCAGTGGCCAAAAAAAGTGGCTATGAAACTGATTATCTAGTAGCTAGTATAATAGGATTAGTCAAGTCTGTTGTCCAAGACTGAATATATATGCATAGGGGAGTTGTCTGTATATTTGTGCATTCTCCAGCTATACATAAAATCTGATTCCACTCAAGGTTGACCATTCTGATAAGAATGACTTAACTTGTATTTGCAGCTTCTCAAGGGTCAATGAAGCCCTCTGCTATTTGCTTCCTCTTTCTCCTTTTTGTTATGACCCTGATGTCACTATGTTCTTGATGAAAGCCATATTTGATGGGAAATGGTGTCTATAAAAGGATTAAAAGGTTCTTATGCTATTAAAGATGGACCAGAAAGACCCCAAAGCTGGTTGTTATGTACTAATTCTTTCTTAGCTATTATTTCTAAATTTATGGTCCAAATCATTCTACATGGAACCTCATAGTACATTTGAGATTTTAGTTTGCTGTTGTATTGTAGTTTCTGCATAAGTTGCTGGATTTTCTACTGTTCCTATAGATTTTCAGAGATTTTTTGCACTTTCTGTTGGGCTTTTGCTGCATTATGGCTTTGCTTCGTGCCTCCTTGCACAGCTTGTTAAGTATTACTACCAATTTGCCCCTCCTTGCATAGCTTATTGTCACTATTGTAATTATTTTGGTTATTATTCTTATACTTGTTAATGTTCTTCCATTTTGTTGTTCTTGGTCCTAGATTTGTTACTGCAGGTGCAAGACTCTGTTTTTAAAGGTGATTAGACCTGTAAATTTTTTTTGGTTGTTCTTAGTCCTCTAAATTCTTTTTCAAGTGAACAGAATTGTGCAAAATGCAGCTGCTTGAATGTTAGTTTGGGGGTTGGAAGGGATGAGTTTGCATCAAGTAGCAGTAGTGAATGTTTGTTTTGGCAGCATGAGGGCGAAGTAGTTGCTGCAGCAGAGGCGTTCCATCATTGTGCTGGTTCTGTTTGTTCTTTCTTTCGTGGTTGAATGATGGATCTTTGTTTATCCAATCCGCCAAATTGTGAGACAAAGAAGTTACGAGGTTAGTGATCATCAAAGTTAAAAACAAGTTTGATGCTTTTAAGAGTCTGTTTTTTATTGGATTGTATTAAATAGTAGCAGTAGAACAAATATGTCAGCAATTTTTTATGTATGTCTATGGATTTTGGTTCAATTTTTCTTTTTCTGGGCCTGCTCTGTGGTTGTTAAATGGTTTGTTGATTCAATTTGTAGAACAACTGTAATAGGAGCAATGCTTTAGAGGCTATGAAGTGTACACGTAGTTCTTGCCTTGCGAACAAGGCATTTGGGTAAGTCTTTCTAAGTCCCACTTAAGTTTCCAGCTTCTTAAACATGTTCTTTTGGATTTGGGTTCAACTGACTTGTCATTGACGGTTGAAATTTTAATTGTTTTTCATGGCAGATCAACCGTACAGGATGTCTCAGATGGAGTCCACGATGTATTTTTTTTTTGTTAGAAGGATGAAATTTTGAACGTTGACTCTAGATAGAAAATTGTGATGCTGACTTTAATACCAGTGAAGAAATAATTAGTTAGCGTATTGAGTAGAACTAGTTATTACTATGATATAAAATGTCACATTATAGAATTATTATATACTACAAGATTTGAGACTTTCGATTGTTGATAATAATAAATTTTAGTTGTTACTTCGTGACATGAGACTGGCTTTTGTAATTAGTAATGGCAAATATTCATAATTATTCTTGTTTTAGATATTCTAATTAGTCATAGCAAAATACCGTGAATAGTGATTGTAATTAGCTTTAGTCAAATACCGTGACTAGTGGTTAGTATGTAGTCACAGGGGAACCAGTCACTACAATAAGAAATAACGTGACTAGTGATTAACAGCTAGTCACGAGAAATGATTAATCACGGTACATAAAACTAGTCACAGTACACAATTAGTCACAGGGCTATATATTACGGTAATTTTAACGTGGTTCGGTCTTTTAAAGAGACTTTACTTCACGGTGGTTAATGTTCTTGGTGTTTCTTATTATTCAACAGACCATAAACCCTAACGCAGGGATATATAGCTCGGCCATGCACAGCCCTAACCGCTAAGCATATGCATTCTTTTCATCCAGTCCACATATTGTCTCATATATACAAATATGTCCCTCACTACAACTATATTTACAAATAACACTTCAATAACCCCCTCAAACTGATGGTGCTTGCCGCAACATCAGTTTGTGTGAAAGAAACCAGTGCCGACTAGTAGAGACTGCTTTTGTAAGCAGGTCTGTCGATTTCTCTTTTGTCATCAAATACTGTAGTTGGAGCCACCCATCTGAGACTAACTGCCGTATATAATTATTAGAATTATTAAGCCATTAAGCCACAAGTATACAAAAATTACCAAAAATCGAAAATACTATTCATTACGAAAAAAGCGGGAGGCACTGTTCCTGAAGTGGATTGGTGATTGTCTGCGGTCGTACCTACATGAGCCTACGTTAGCCCATGTGCTATTATATTGGGCAGGGCAAGCTTGACCGTTGATGTTATTTTTACTTTGCAAGATGGGCGAGCTCACAAAAACACAATTACACGTAATGGTGGCCCCCTCAGAAAAGTTAAACGCTTCTCGATGCTATTTTTCTCTCACCTCCCAAGATCACAGTACGACTTCCTCCGAACCTTCTTCCCTTCTCTCCCATCCCCACCATCTCCAAACCCACCAAACGAACGCCGGCGGGAGACGATGGCAACAAAAGATTTCCCATCGCCAAACCCACTGAACGGACAGTGGCGGTAGACTGTGGCGGCGACAGATACCACATCTCCGAACCCACTACTCCCCTCTCTTCACCGCCCTCAACTCGCTGAATGGCATGCCGGTTTGGAGACGAGCCCTCTTTCCCGGCATATTTGAAGACAATCAAAACTGGGACCATCCTTTCGGGCATATTTTAAGTCGAACGATTCCTCCTCGATTCCATGGCTTCGATTTCGGAGAGAGGTAGATACGCTTCACTAGGAAGAGGAACGCGCCGATGACCGATGTTGAGAGAAGAAGGGTTTCTATCTACATTCTCCTCCGCAAAAAAAACCCTCCTCTCCGAAGAAGCAGTGGCCGCGCAGAGACGCAGAGGTCAGGGGAGATGCGGCTGTAAAGGGATCTGGCTCTTCTCTCTCAGAGGCACTCGGACTTGGGGTCTTTCTCTATTGGTTGATTCTGGAATCCCTTCGTCTCTTCAAGCGGTGAATGTACCATTCCCAGTTCAAACCGAAACCTAGGATTTATCAAACTGCATTGGTTGGTTTACTTGCAATCTACTATAGAGATGTTTCTACCATAAGCTACCTGCCCAATATCAGTGCAACTTGGGACTTCTATGGCTTCTAAGCTTCTTCTTTTTTTCCTTCTTATTTCACCAATTTGCGAACACAAATTTTGGTTCACTGGCGCAGTTGAAAGCTTTGGTGGTGATAAAGTATGTAAGAATTTACTTAAATGTGTATGGATTTCCTTCTATCTGCGCAGGCCACTTACTTCATTAAGGATTTTCCTTTCCTCACCATTGATAGCTTTATGTTGTATAATATAACTTTTGTTTTAGGTTCTACATGGCTTCTTCTAAAAACAAAAAAGCTCTAGGTGCTCCAAGGAGGGGCTCTTTGGCAGGCTATTGATGGTGTTAGAGGGCATGTACAGTTAACCTCTGTTTCTGCAATTGTTTGAACTGGCTCTGGATTCTGTAAGTAGCTTAGGATGATTTGTAGGTTGCCACTGTAGCTAATGTTTCATGGCTTTCTTCGATAACCATATTGCAGGTGGCATTATCATAGTTTAGCGGGAATCAATGTAATGAATGACTTTGCTTAATTCATTTACCCACTTAAGGATAAGTTAACCTATTTTTATTCTCAACATTCTTTTCACCACCTTACTGTTGATTTGGCCGCAAAGCTCTTCTTAAGCGTAATTCTCACATTTTCTCTGGGTTTTCGTTACAGTGTCGTTGATTTGGTCACAGAGATTTTCTTAAGCGGCCTCAGTTGAGGGGAAGAGAAGGGACCACGCCTGGAAATTTTCACTTTCAAATGTTCAAAAAGGGGGGAAATCGAATGCATCAATTCAACATGTACTAATTTCTTGAAGTGTATCCCTTCTCAATCGTGAATCGATATTTTGAATGTATGCTGAGGATTTTGAGTTGGATACAAGCATGGAGAACTCATGCCATTGCTTTCTTTTGCCACTTTAGTGTGGTCTCATCCTTTATGGGGATCAAATTAGCAGGGGAAGTACTCTGTACCTAAACACCGATATTGTATACTTGCAGGTATGATTGAAATG